GTCATCCTATCATATAAGGAAATGTGAATTCCAAATATGGCATGATTATGTGCATCAGCGTCCTCTAATAATAAAAACAAACATGGCTGCCACCAGAGTTTGACCGAACTCCACACAAAGAAGTTCGCTGATTCTGTTCTAAACATTTTGAATTCAGCATTCACATGGTGTATCCTAGTATAATAATAAGGTTGTTATGAAGATATCTCAAATTATTTACTCAGACAGTATGTTGTGCATCGACCTCCGCTGCGTGTTGGTGATACTCCAGCTGTACTGTCTTCGTGCATACTTTGAGGTATTCTTGTAATAACCTTATATTATTATGAAGCTGTTTTTGTCTCATACAATTCTATTCAAGGTTTATCTCTGAATATACAGTATATGTGGTGATTTATTGCATTGTTGCTTCCCTGGGAGTTATTGAATTTTATGTTATTTATGACAAATTTTTACATTAGTTGCTAAGACTGATTTGTATCTTTTACCTACAATGACAATCTAGTACTTTTGTTTCCATAGTTACAACAGTCGGGGGAGATTAGTTATCAAAACATTTATGAATGTAATTTACATGCTTCTAACATTGGCAGGATAAATAACTTAGAAAAGGTATGTTATATGTGATGTTTTATGTCTGTTTCATGTTCAAGTGTGATAAATAATGCTGCTTCAGTGAAGCCTCTAAGCTGATATGACACCACACTATAGCACAAAAATGTTGTGTGACACAACTAGTTGTTTTAATTCACTGGCGAGTTATTGACCTAACAGAAAATCATACATTGATATAGTGATCTTGAAAGAAAATTTTAATATAGTGACAAAATTTGTAATTTGGTGAAATGAAATTTACATTTTAAAATGAAACAAGTAAAAATATGAAGGAAATCAGAAGCCACAACATTTTTGTTTGTGCCTATAATCACCTATACTGTCACAAACAATTTTAATTTGTTTTGATGACTTACATCTCCTATTTGGGGAATTTCATTTAGACTCAATATCTCCACAAAATCCTGTTAGAAGCCACACTGTGCTGCTTACTCATTTTATTCAGTTTTCCAAGGTCACCTTCTATATAAGATTTACTGTCTTACAATATTTCTTTTTCAGTTCATCAAACTGAGAATATTAGATCTTTCCTGTAATCATATAAAACATATTGAAAACCTTGACAGAAATACTGTAAGTGAATTCTGAATTTATTCTAAGATTTTTAAATGAACATGTACTATATGCGTTCTATTCAAAGTGCTAATGCTATAGAGGTGCATGTACCATATATGATTTAAATAAAAGATATGTTAGCTTAAATGAATCGATGTGAGTTTGGTAATTAATATCCCACCAAAATAATTGTTTTGAGTTGAACATATGCCTCCATTGAAGATGTGTGTTGTAATAGATATGGTTATTCATCTTGGCAGTTTACTACAGTCTTACATATACATTGTACATGTGTTATTGACTTATAGTGGAATACATTTTCATCTCAAAATATTATAAATCATATTGTTTTCTATTATTTGTGTATTATTGGTGTACTGGGGGTAAGCCACAAAACCTAGGAATTGTAAACTTGCTTGTACAAAAACTTGCTTGATGATATTTTAGAATAACTCCCCATTTGTACAAATTACTGACCAAAAATGAATATAACTTTGTTCATTGGTGTAGTCAATAATTACATTAAGACTTGTTCGCATACAATTAGTGATTCAATTGGTAGCTACGATAGTACACATTTAAAAGATTTTCCAGAACTATATCTTTGGCTTGTATCTGCCATGGTTACATAATTGTGGTCAGATTAGGTACAGAAATAAAAATGTACAAAAGATGAAGATTAACCTTTTCACTACCAGTTCTCTCTTTTCATCACAAATTCATGGAATAGTCCTATTTATAATCTGCACTTTTCTTCAGAAGATTGGGACAAAAGTTTGTCTGTTGGCTTCAAAATTAAGGTTTATTTTCAGAAATATTGAAGAATACAAAAAAAAGTGCATGCAAATTTGGACGAAAGGATCTGGTGGTGAAAAGGTTAAAGACCAACAAATATTAAAATTTATATATGTTTAATGACAATGGTCAGAACTACAAAAATATTTATCCATGACATTGTTTTTCTCTCATGAGAGCTTATCAGTTCTAGAAATGCAATACAAATCAAATGAAACTTTCAAATAAGAGAAAACACCGCAAGTCAAACAAATAAAAGGAACAAAGAAGGGAAATATATACCATATACCATGTTTATCACAACTATATTTAGGACATCCATACACTACACATAGTGGTTAATTATTAATTTTTTTTGTACATATCTAGTAGTTTATTTGGGCTACCTACATGTACATTTGAAAATGGGTAGCCCTAATGTGCACAGGGCTACTGTACTGCTAATTTTGATCCTTGGCTTACAAAGCAAGTACAGAACACTAAATTTGTTATTGAAAATGTGAACAACTGTGTCATACCATGACTTCTGGTGATTATTAACTTTCTGCTAAACAGATCTCTGTACATCAGCATGATTTGCATAAAGTCATAAAAAAAAAAAGTTATTCTAAGTTATTGGGACTGTTTGTCAACAGTTATGCACAGGATAATAGTTCCATAGCATGAAATACAAATTCTGATCGGTGTTTCTGTTCGAAAACCGAGCCATATCAGATGGTGTAATAAGTAGAATTACAGAATTCTATAATCAGATTATTAGGATGTGCAATTGAGTGACAGCTTGGTCTCACAGTGATTGAACTAAACTCATGACGTCATTGGCAAACATGCTGTCATGATTAATCCTAGCATTCACAAGGTAAAAAATTTCATACATGTAATGTAATATGAAATGTATTTTATGTTTTGTTTTTACCATACAGTACCCTCAGATGGTACATGTTGATTAATGAAAATTAATTATTATATAGATGAATCTACTTGCTGTCCAAGTGTTTTGTCATAGTGTCAGTATAAAATCTTGTTACCAGCTGTTGTAAATGATCTTATTAGTACGAGTTATGAAAGATGTTCACTGTGTACTAGGACTCTATCAGTGTTTTCAATGTGTACAATATAGAGGAGACAACCACTGTGTCTTCTAGCATAGCTGGTAACAATTTGTTGGAGGGGAGATCAGAATGCTTTCAGATTAAAGAGTTTCACACATTGATTTCAGTGTTACTCTTTTTTATTGACCATATTGATATAATTTTGGAATCTAGGCTTGCTTTGAAAGTTAAAAAAATAGAAATCTTTCAGTGCTTGGACTTCAGTGAACCCAATTTGTGATATCTTTAGGGCTCAGACTTCAGTAACCCAATTTGTGATATCTTTAGGGCTTTGGACTTCAGTGAACTCCAATTTGTGATATCTTAAGGGCTTTGGATTTCAGTGAACCCAATTTGTGATATCTTTAGGGCTTTGGACTTCAGTGAACCAAATTTGTGATATCTTTAGGGCTCAGACTTCAGTGAACCTCAATTTGTGATATCTTT